TTTTGCATATTTTTTCAGAAGGATTTGGGCATTTATATTTTCCCCCTATGTTTTTCAAGAACAAATTTTGTGGAGGTTAAAAGTTACAAAAACGAGCTGTACTGCTTCATATATGATAGGCACATAAAATAGAGGTTGAGATAGGAAAACTACCTTTAATAAGTAGTCTATTGTCGAGCCTATATTGCTTGATAGTGGATCTAGATATCTCACACTACCTTGGTTCCTGTCAGTTGGCTCCTCATAGGATGTTCATGGGCTCCAGCTGCGCCAACACTTGATCTATGAACCATTAGAATCCTCTGCAGGCGGGGCTCTTTCTAGAGCTTCCTAGTTCCTGTCATCAGATCTTATACCAAATGATAGGGATTTAAGTAAGATGGGGAACACTCTTCAAAGCTAGTTATTGAGGTGGGAGAACCATCCTAGTTAAGCATCCATTAAGCAGTCTACATCACTTGATGGGATTTAGGTTTCTATCCTGCTTTGATCCCTGTCAGTATATTAATGGCTCTTGTCACTCATTTGTTTCATTAGTACATGCTATAATGACCGGATAATTCTGCATTTACTGGCCTGACATGATTTGCTATGGTAAATGGACTGTTAACAATAGTGAATTCTTTAATGCAGGTTATCTTCTTCCTGATTGTGCTTGATCGCATAATATATCTCTGTTCGTTTGCCACAGGGAAAGTGATTTTCTATATTTTCAACCTTATTCTCTTCACATATTCAGTTACAGAGTATGCCTGGCAATTGGAGCCTTTTCAGCAACATGCCGCTGGGCTTGCTCTCCGGGGCATATATTTTGCAAAAGCAGTTTCTCTTGCACTACAGGCTGTACAAATTCGGCATGGCATCCCTCACAAGAGCACTTTGTACCGCCAGTTTCTGACCAGTGAAGTTTCACGAATCAATTATTTAGGATATAGACTTTATCGTGCTCTGCCTTTCCTTTATGAACTGCGATGTGTGCTTGACTGGTCGTGCACAACCACGTCTTTGACCATGTATGACTGGCTAAAGGTAGGCTTTGTTACAATGTGATTTAATTATCATATTTGTATTTGAATTTACTCATCTTTGGAATGGAAATTTTGCTAAATAATCAAAATCCATGTTTTATTATAAGTATTACCTTCTATTGCAAGGACTGCTTGAAGGTAATTGAATCTTAAATATAACATGCTAAAATTCTTGTTTGAATTATATTTCTGGTAACAATAGTAATAATAATTTCAACATCAGATTTCAGTCATGGAAATGCAGTTAAAAGATGTGAACTGACTGCTTGCAAGACTGAATTGAGTGACACCGGTAGTGGAGATAAAAAATCTGCTTTTAGCTGGGCTTGCCTTGAAAGTGTGTCCTAAAGTGAATTTATGAGAAAAGTCTCTCAACCTGCACAAACGGTTGACAATATTACATCAGTTTTGAAAAATTATGTGCTACGTTATACCACAATTTTCTTTAGAATGACCATAGCTCCTCTAGAAATACTTTTGGGGCAATAATGCATTTTAACCCTTGATGAAATTATAATTACATCTTTCTTGCCCTTTTCAGCTAGAGGACATAAATGCAAGTTTGTACCTTGTAAAATGCGATGCACTTTTGAATAGAGCTACACACAAACAAGGAGAGAAGCAAACGAAAATGACCAAATGCTGCAATGGAATATGCCTGTTCTTCATATTAATCTGTGTTATATGGGCTCCTATGCTGGTAAGTAAATTCATTAGCCTTTATTATTATGGAATTGCTAGTTGCGATGAGAGATATTCTCTGTATTGTTGCCAAAATGATTTTCCTTGCATTTGTTTCTTGCTAAACATTTTCTGGTGCGCACACAACCATTGAGTTTGATAATAGAAGAGTGATAGTTTCGTTCATGAATGGTTTTGTTTGTTTTAATTTGCACTTCTTACCTTTTATTGCCAAAGGTGAGAGTATGGCAACATTATGGTCAGGAGGGAGGAGAATGATACTTCTAGGTTTTATCAATATATCCTCATTTATAGCAGAGAAGCCTGAAGAAAAAGACACAGACCTGACAATTACTAGACTCAATGCGAAGCAACTCACCTGTAATAAAGAACCCTGCATTTAACCAACAAATTATAATACAAGTATTCTAGATGTGAAACAATATTATGCCTGATTATGTCCACACAATTGGCCGTCTTTTTCTTCCTGAGCATAACATTATTAATCAACGTGTGCCAGTTATAATCTTAATTTTAATGACAGATGTACAGCAGCGGTAACCCAACAAACATGGCAAACCCCATCAAAGATGCCAGTTTTCAGGTTGACATCAAGACAGTAAGTGGAAGGTTGAATTTGTATCAAACTACCCTGTGTGAGAAGATCCCATGGGATAATCTGGAGTCTAATGCCAATCTAGATCCCCATGGCTACTTAAATGCATATAACAAGAATGATATCCAATTGATATGCTGCCAAGCTGATGCTAGTACACTGTGGCTTGTCCCAGCTGTTGTTCGAACCAGATTGATCCATTCACTTGATTGGCATAGATCATCTAGTGAGATGGAAATATACTTTACCTGGTTGCTTTGGAGGGACAGGCCAAAAGGGAAAGAACTAGTGAAATTTGAAAAGCCAGTTGATTCACAAAATCTTCCGAGAGAATCAGATGTTCGAAAGGTTCTTAATGGCTCTATGAACAGCTTTAGGATTTATAATGTGTATCCAAAATTTTTCCGGGTCACTGGTTCTGGTGATGTTCGACCACTGGAAGTAGAGGTAATCGTATTCCAAGTATATATTGTTTATCATCACTGTTTTTTTTTAGGGGAAAAAAAATTAAACCAACTTTTACGAACTTTATATTTCAAGCACTTGTATATCAGAGCCACATATTAATTATCATTTAAAATTTACGGATGAATTTAAATGAGACAACAGGTAATATATAGAAGAGTTGATGTTGAACTGCATTAGTTTCATTTCTCTCTGATAACTGTATATAGGTGTTTTAACTTCAGAATGCTTCTAAAAATATTATTAGACAGCTGAAGTTTGACTTGCAGGATAATTATGTGAGTGCTGATCTCATGATAAATCATGAGCAATATGAGTGGTGGTCCTTTCACGATATAAATTCATCAGATTCAAATGGATGTGGAGATTTGACGGGACCTATGGCAATTATAATATCTGAGGAAACCCCACCGCGTAAGTTAGCCATGAGATTTTTCTCACTTGTAGATGTCTGTACTTTGTCGGTTCCAAATTATTTTCTTGGGTAATGCTTCTGAAAGTATCTCATAATACTGCTACAGAGGGTATTCTTGGCGACACACTGAGCAAATTTAGCATATGGGGGCTCTACATAACCTTTGTTCTTGCTGTTGGCCGTTTTATCAGACTTCAATGTTCTGACTTAAGGATGAGAATTCCCTATGAGAACCTCCCTTCATGTGACAGGTACCGTTTACTTTCTTTTCTAAAATGGCTATACAAGATATGATAAATTTTGTTCGGTTGTTGCTTCAAATTTGTCAAACTAGTTCAACGTGATTCTAGAGGCTATATGTTTTACGTGGGGATTGTTAACGTCCATTTTATAGAGATGCACGCGGTAATATTGCTTGTTGCATGGTTTTTCATGTAGGTTGATAGCCATCTGCGAGGATATATATGCAGCAAGGGCAGAGGGTGAGCTTGGAGTTGAAGAGGTACTATACTGGACGTTGGTGAAGATATATAGGTCCCCTCACATGCTACTTGAGTATACAAAACCCGACTAGAACCCTCGGTCACTAACGACTAACAAGGCTTAAAGCACCAGTATGGTTTGACTTCCCGCCATGTTGGTGGGCAAACCATATAACTTCTTATGGAGACTGACGCAATACGAAGCGGCAGTGCTTGTCCAGAAATATGAAGGTAACAAAGCAGAGCTGTAGTCGTGGAAATTTTCTTCATAATATCATGATCATGGCCTCGAGGAATCTTTCCACGTCGAAGGTTTTTGGGTCCTTTTTACAGCCTAAACGGGCATGTTCTTGCTAGTTGCAACTTCGGAAAGCAAAACCTGCATCCGAAAATTGGTGAAGATATCACGACCGTATTTAATATTTAGGTTTCCAATCCTAAATGATTGTTTCTGGATTGTACCATGTAAATAGTGTAAAATGCAGCTAATTCGATCTAGTTGTAGCGAGGTAGTATTTTCAGCCGCTTCGCTCCTCCCCCAGCCCACTCCCTCGGACTTGGGGCTTGCTGGTCGTTGCATGTGGAAAACATATTTTATAGATGAAAACGACTTGATAAAGTTGTATACATAGGAAATATCGACAGTCTCATAAATTTTATTTCTTGCTAATAAAATTTTCACATTTTCCCTTATTTTCAAGTAGAATTGTGAATTGTGAGATTTGTCATTATTTTGATAAGTTGTTGATCCAAACCATTTAAAAAAAAAAAAGGAAAAAAGTATCTTACAAGCAAAACATAAAAGTAAGCTTACAATGAAAATTAACGAATGCTTTGATGCAGTATTTCATTCCAGAAAAAATTAAAACGCACCGCCATACTTATCCATTAAAAAATTAAAACGACTTTTAATAAATTATATCTGCTTTAAAAATAATAATAAAAGCGGATAAAAAACATAGAGGATGAATTGAATAATGGACAATCCTTTTAGCCAGTTAAGAGAGAGAGAGAGCGAGCGGAGGGAGAGACAAGTCAAAACCATCGGCGTCCCACACCTGATCTCAGCTTTTGGGTTCTATCCCTACACTGATTAAAGTGAGTGTGAGTGTGTGCGGGGGCGGGTGTGGCGTGGGGGCGAGGGCTCAAATTGTTAAAGTGAATAAATAAATAAAGACCGCGTCCTAAAAGCGCCCTGACTTTGACTTCTGGTCAAGTACTTTGACGTAATAAAACTTCTCTCCTGTACTTATTTTATACCGACTTCATGTTATGTAAAATTTTGTGATTTCCACATCGCGCCACGCAACATCCGCGAGACCGGCATTGATCTTGATACTACGCTTCTCGTATCGGACACACTCGTCCCTCCGTTCGCCACCTCAATATGACAGACGAGGAACTTATACAGAAGCTACAGGACTTCACCCAAAATGCCCAGCTTCACCAATTGCAGACTCTCCGCTCCATCCTTGATCACAACGGCAGCGTACTCTATCTTCAGCCCTACCTCCGAGGCTATGATGCGCCGGTCGACGCTGAAACTTTCAGACGATGCGTCCCCTTGTCTTGCTACGATGATTATGTTGATTATATCAACCAACTGGCTGATGGAATGAATGATCGTGATGCGCCTCTCCTCTCTGTTGATCCTCTTCTCTGTTTCTTCTACAGGTAGGCATCTTCTTATGGCTCTAATCTCATGAAAATTCCAATTGTCATATTTTGTTTTACTTCATTTTGCTAATACTATGGTATCCTTTCACGGGAATGAAAGTCTGTTTTGGTTGAGGATGGGAAGAAACGTCGTTGCAAATTTGAAATCAGTATCGCGATTGCCGACTTTTTGTTGTTATTATTGCCTTTTTTTGAAAAGAAAAAACAGATGATTTGGGAATAGTACTATGGTTCTACTACCCCCGCTCCAGATCTAGTCTGTAGTTCAATTTGAACCACAAATTATTAGATACACCGGAGGTAGTATTATGGTTTCTCTTCGCTGCTCTTATTGGCCGACCAGAAACAGGAACTTCTGACCAAAGTTCCTCCGCTGAGGATACTGATCTTAAATATGAATTATGCGTTCTCAGCTCCGGAACAAGTTCCTTGAAGCCAAAACTGATCCCTCACTTTGATTCAAACATTTCTAAAGCCGCCTCCTTTATTGCTCACCGAGGAAGCGTATCCATCCTACAGAGGTAGATTAACCATCAAATCATATTCAAATTTGACTAGGATTTGAAGGATTTATATTTGTTTAGTATGACGAGTTTTTAAATCTGCATATAGGCTGTTTCGTCCAAGGCCTACGGTCAACAAGATCCTATTGTTTCTCTACGCCGACAGTATTACTAGGACTAAAAGTGGCTTGAAAGTTATGGCTGCTTCTTCCTTCCCTTTGCAACGTGGTGGAGCTACCTCTCAACAATTCGCTTCCTTCTCTAGTCCTCTAGAAGTCATTCTTGGATCTAATGCTGAGCATCAAATGTATTGCCACCTTCTTTGTGGCCTCAGGAACTTCAATGTTATAGATGCGATCGCAGCTCCATATGCCGCAGGCTTGATTAGAGCCTTTAATCTCCTGGAGTCTAAATGGGAGCAGCTCTGTGCTGATCTTGACCGTGGTTTAGCAAGTGACGAAATTTTAGAAGTGTCAATGAAGGAATCGGTTAGAAAAATTCTTGACGGGCCTCAACCAGAGTTGTCAAGGAGAGTGAGGTTGGCTTGTGAAGGAAATGACTGGGATGGGATTGTAAGTAGGTTATGGCCTAACGCACGCTATATTAAGTGTGTTACCACCGGCTGCATGAAGCAGTACTACCCAAAGCTTAAGTGCTATGCAGGAGAGGTCCCTATTTTAGGAGGAGATTACTTAGCTTCAGAATGCTGCGTGGGTATTAATTTGGACATAAAACAAGCGCCTGAAACAACCAAATATGTAATGCTTCCAACAGCTGCCTACTTTGAGTTTCTTCCATTCAACATGAATCAGGGTGACGATTATTGTGAAGAAACTGTGGACTTTAGTGATGTAGAGTTAGGGAAGATGTATGAAGTTGTTGCTACTACGTACAAAGGATTATACCGCTATCGTTTGGGTGATATAGTGAGAGTTGTTGGTTTCCATAACTCATCTCCGCTTGTGGAATTTGTGATGAGAGCACCTAAAACTCATTCTGAGATTGTGACTGAGAAAGACTTAATCTCCGCAGTTGAAAACTTTCAACTTGCGCTCAGAACTGCTGTGGGTATAGAGATTGTTGAATTTTCAAGTTTCTCGGATGACGAGTTGAAGCCAAAGCAGTTGAAGCTGTTTGTAGAAGTTAAAGAGGGCCATACGAAAACAACTCCGCAGGAAAAATGGAAAGAATCAGTTGCAGCTTTTCAAAGGTGCAGTTCTTCTCTCGAGAGGGGCTTGGGAGCTATGTACAGCGTGCAGAGGGATAAAGGGGAGGTAGGACCATTGTTGATTTTAATCCTAAGGCCTGGAGCTTTTGACAGGTTATCAGAAGTAGCTATTAAGAACGGAGCATCAGCTAGTCAATATAAACCACCTAAGATTATTCGAAATCGGGAAGTTGCCAAACTCTTGGAAAGTTTTGCCCTTGTGACTGTATCTTTGGATGGCTGATAACCAATGAATGGACTGGACTACTGCCACATCATCCAGGCCCATCCCATATGAAATTCAATTAATTTGTGTAAATGATGACATCGATCTGATCACATTTAGTGATATGATGTACAAAGGTGCTTAGTTGCTTTTAGAATACTGAAGACCGTTAATAGAAAGATTAAGTTGTCTGGAGGCATATGTGTACTTGCATGAGGTTGCTTAACGTTCTCCTTGAGCCAGTTCTTTAAATTATCAAATATGATCGTCTTGGAGCTCCCCGGTGTCTAAATAAAACTTACATAAAATCTTAAAAAGCCTTAGCTTTTTGACACCACCATATGTTTTTTTTTTTTGGCCCCCCGGGGGGGGGTTGGTTATGTGAATATAGAGGCAGACACATAATAGGAATTCCCATTCTTTCTTCAACTCCGTCAGATAAAGTGTCTCGTTCCGCTGATACCTTTGACTGCAAGAAACTTACCTAGTTGTTGATGGCTGCTTGTAATTGTTCCAGGCTTTTCCCTTTAGTTTCGGGCACTACTACAACTATAAACAACACAGCCAGTGCATTGATTGCCGCATAGAGGACAAAGGTACCTGGAATGCCATGCACACTTGTGAATTTTACAGCTCTATATAAAACCGGTAGTCCTCTACTTTTTTATAAGCTCGACTAGGAAACTTTTATCATATAATGATGCTAATCATTAATCCTCTAAATGACATATGAATATGAAAAGTATAACTAGTGTGTACCATAGGAGCTCCAACTCATCAGAAAGTTGAAACTGTAAGAACATAACCATGCACCAAACCAGTTCGTTAATGTTGCTAGGCTTCCCGCCTGCCCTTTGATGTTAATAGGAAATATCTGCAACAGAAAAGCAATTTTTAGTTATCATTCTGGTCTCTCTTTGTCAAGAAATTACTTGTCACCAAAAAACATGAACAAGAAAAATAGATGCCTACCTCTGACATTATAACCCAAGGAATTGCTCCCATTCCCACAGAAAATGATGCTATATAAACCTGTAATAATGTAATGGTTTCGTCAAAAAGAGTTAAGTATCACATTATGTGCAATGGAGTAAATTGTGTAATTAAAGGAAGAGTAGATGATCAAACCAGTATGCCCGTCACAGCAAGTGCCGGGACTGTGTCAAGGAACACATCATGAACCTGAGTCATGCAATCATATCTCTCACATAAAAATCAGGACTTGAAACTCAAAGCTGTCAGGTCTCTCTCTTCTCAGTTAAGAATCTACCTTAAAATAGAATGCCATTGCAGTGATTATACAACCTGCGACCAGTCCTGATCCAGAAACCTAAATAAACCACAAATTAAGAACGACATTGATGAGAAACAAGCAATTTAAAGGTGAAATATTATGCAGTGTGTAGAGATATGATATGATTTGATATGTAAATATTATGTAATTATGATTAGGATTTGATAGGATATGATATTATCATAATGAGCCATTAATGCAGAGGCTCCTCTCACTTGTATATATATGTGTATATTCTGATCAATGAAATACAAGAGAATTATTCTCCATATTATTCTATTCCCTACATGGTATCAGAGCGTGGGAATTTTCTTTCTGGGTGTTAATTTTCGGTTGCTACAGTACCAAAATTACTGTGTGAGCTCGTGACCCTCTTCCCGACGCTTCCTTTGCACTGTTCACTCGGCGTCCGTGCAGTCCGTACGCTCTGCACTGTTCATCGACTTTTCCGGCGTTCTGCACTGTTCACTCGGCGTCCGTACAGTCAGTACGCTCTGCACTGTTCATCGACTTTTCCGGGGCTTTGCACTGTTCACTCGGCGTCCGTACAGTGTCCGTACATACCGTACGGTTATTACTTTCTGGCGTTCTGTTTCGTTTCTGGCGCATCTTTGGCACGCTGTTTGTGCAATTCAGTTCTGTTTGCAGCTCCCTGTGTAGCTGTTGGCCTTTTCACTGCTTGGGTATTCATTAGGTAATCCAGGTATCGTGCTTTGTGTTCCTATGTAACACTCTTTCGCATTCCCTTTGGTTATTGCACTTCATCTATGGCGGAAATTAAATCTGTCTCGGAGCTTGTCCCAACTATTACTAAAATTACTGATCACAAGTTGACTTGGGTAAATTATTTGGATTGGAGTAAAACCATTCGCCTCTATCTGCGGAGCATTGAGAAGGAAGACCATCTGCTGATGATCCTCCAACAACTGATTCCAAAAAGACCTGGTTGCGGGATGATGCACGGCTATTTTTCCAGATCCGTAATTCCATTGACAGTGAGATTATTCCCTCTATTAATCACTGTGAATTGGTTAAGGAACTAATGGATTATTTAGATTTTTTGTATTCAGGAAAAGGAAATATCTCTCGTGTTTACGAGGTCTGCAAAGCTTTCTATCGTTCTGAAAAACAGGATCGTCCTCTCAAAGCCTACTTTATGGACTTTAAAAGGATGTATGAAGAACTGAATGTGTTAATGCCTCTTACTGCTGATTTGAAGGTTCAGCATAAGCAACGGGAGCAAATGGCTATTATGAGCTTTCTTACTGGTCTCCCACCTGAGTACGACACAGTTCGGTCTCAAATCTTATCCGGATCTGAAATTTCTGACCTTCAAGATGTGTTTTCCAGAGTAATGAGAGCTGAGAATCTCTTGCCACCAGCTGCTAGTATTCCTACAAGTGCCTTGCTCAGTAAGGGCACCTATGAGACTCGTAGTCCCATTGATAACCGCGGGGGGCCTACCCGTGGTGGTTCGAAGCAAGGGGGAGCCCCTTCTGACTCCAGTGGGGTAGTGTGTTATTACTGCAAAGAACCGGGGCATACAAAACGCACATGTCGAAAACTTCAGAATAAACAGCAACGGAATAACTTTGCCCACGTGGCTACACAAGCCAGTGCCCACGTGGCTACACAAGCCAGTGACACAGTCACGATTTCTGCTGCTGAGTATGCCCAGTTAAAATCTACTACACCGTCTGTGAGTGCCGCAGCTACAACAGGTAATAATGCTACTGCCCTTGCTTCTTCTTCCTCAAAGTGGATCATAGATTCCGGGGCTACTGATCATATGACAGGTAACAGCCATCTCTTCTCCTCTTATAATGCTTTTGCCAATCCGTCAAGTGTTTCCATCGCTGATGGTTCCCAGTCTCAAGTTCTCGGTTTTGGCACTGTTAATCCCACACCCTCTATCCGTTTGTCATCTGTGCTAAATGTTCCTAAACTTGCTTTTAATCTCCTATCTCCCAGTAAACTCACCCGTCAACTAAACTGTTGGGTCTCACTTTTTCCTTCTCATTGCTTGATACAGGATCTTTTGACGAGGCGGATTATTGGTAGAGGTTATGAATCTGGCGGGCACTATATACTGGATGATCGGGTGTCTCATGCGGTAGCTTGCGCTAGCAGTCATTCTCCCTTTGAAGTTCATTGTCGATTGGGTCATTTGTCTCTATCTTCTCTTAAGAAAGTTTATCCTCAATTTCAGCATTTGTCGTCTTTAGATTGTGAGTCATGTCAGTTTGCCAAGCATCATCGTCTTCCTTTAGTGTCTCGTGTCAATAAACGGGTTTCATCCCCTTTTGAGTTAGTCCATTCTGATGTTTGGGGTCCTTGTCCTGTAGAGTCCAAAGCAGGGTTTAAATACTTTGTTACATTTGTTGATGATTATTCCCGGACAACTTGGTTATATTTAATGAAACATCGTTCTGAATTGTTTTCCCATTTTTGTGCCTTTTGTGCTGAGATTAAAACTCAATTTAATGTTTCTATTCGCACCTTACGAAGTGATAATGCTAAAGAATATCTCTCTGCTTCGTTCCAATCTTACATGCTTCAAAATGGTATACTTCATCAGTCGTCTTGTGTCGATACACCGGCTCAAAATGGTGTTGCAGAAAGAAAAAATCGCCACCTACTTGAGATGGCCCGTGCACTTTTGTTTCAAATGCAGGTTCCTAAACCATTTTGGGCTGACGCGGTCTCCACTGCCTGCTTCCTTATTAATCGAATGCCTTCCTCTGTTCTTGATGGTAACTCTCCTTTTTCTACCCTCTTTCTTCTAAGCCTTTGTTCCCTATTGCTCCTAAGATATTTGGGTGTGTCTGTTTTGTGCGGGATGTACGTCCATCTATTTCAAAGTTAGACCCCAAGTCGCTTAAATGTGTCTTCCTTGGATACTCTCGGGTCCAAAAAGGTTATCGTTGTTTCTCACCTACTCTCAATCGTTATTTAGTATCTGCAGATGTCACCTTTCAGGAGTCCACACCATATTTCTCGCATTCTTCCCCACCTGCTCCACCTGCGGAGGAGGATGACCTTCTAATATACTCTGTCACCTCACCATCACTGTCGTCGCAAGCACCCGCTCCCGCACTCGTTCAACCATTTGATCGTGTGTATACACGACGGTCAAAGGAGATTACTACCGCCACGCCAGCTTCTATTCCTCCCTGGTCCGCTCGCCCTCAGATCCTGAGTTGAGCAACACTGAACCTCGTTCTGACCCTAATCCTGAGACACCTCCTGTTCCAGACCCGGATGCCTCTCTTGATCTACCCATTGCCCTTCGCAAAGGTAAACGTACTTGTGCCCATCCTATTTCGTCCTTTGTTTCATATGACCGCTTGTCTCCTGTGTCCAGTTCCTTTGTTGCCTCCCTAGATACTATCTCTGTGCCCAGAACTATTCGTGAAGCCTTGGCCCACTCAGGTTGGCGTGCTGCAATGGAAGAGGAGATGGCGGCCCTTGATCGGGCTGGTACATGGACCCTGGTCGATTTACCGGCGGGTAAAAAGGCCATTGGATGTAAATGGGTGTTCACTCCGAAAACTAAGGCTGACGGCACACTTGACCGCCTTAAGGCTCGCCTTGTGGCTAAAGGTTATGCACAAACCTATGGCATTGACTATTCCGAAACCTTTTCTCCTGTTGCTAAGCTCTCATCTGTCCGTCTGTTCATCTCTCTGGCTGCTACTTATGATTGGGATCTACATCAATTAGACATTAAAAATGCATTCTTACATGGTGATCTTCATGAAGAGGTCTATATGGAGCAACCACCTGGGTTCGTTGCTCAGGGGGAGCATGGGAAAGTATGTCGCCTTAAGAGGTCCTTGTATGGTTTGAAGCAAAGCCCTCGTGCATGGTTTGACCGGTTCAGTACTGTCGTACAGAAATTTGGCATGAGCCAAAGCAAGTGCGATCATTCTGTATTTTATCAAAGAACAGCGGCTGGCATGATTCTCTTGGTGGTATATGTAGATGACATTGTGATCACAGGCAGTAATGGTTCGGGCATCTCGTCCCTCAAGTCCTTTCTTAATTCCCACTTTCAGACGAAGGATCTGGGCTCTCTGACATACTTTCTAAGGTATTGAAGTTATGAGAAGCAAGAAGGGCATATTACTGACACAGCGCAAATATGTTCTTGACCTCCTGAAGGAAACTGGAAAGTTGGGAGCAGCACCGACTAAGTTTCCTATGGTTCACAACCCACTCCTTGACGCTGATGGGAGCATACCACTCGATGATTCTCTTGATGATGAGAAACGGATGCTTGAGGCTCAGAAGAGCAAACCATTTGAGAATCCTGAGAGGTACAGGAGAATGATTGGCAAGTTAAACTATCTCACTGTAACTCGTCCGGATATTACTTATCCAGTCAGTGTACTAAGCCAGTTCATGGCATCCCCGACTGTCAGACAGTGGGAAGCCTTGGAGCACGTGTTACATTATTTGAAGGGATGTCCAGTCGTGGGATATTATACAAAAATCATGGCCATACAGACATTGAGTGCTTCTGTGATGCGGATCATGGTGGATCAAAGGCCACGAGACGGTCTACTACAGGATACTGTGTCTTTGTGGGCGGGAATCTGGTGTCCTGGAAAAGCAAGAAACAAAATGTGGTGTCCAGATCGAGCGCAGAGGCAGAATACCGAGCTATGGCACAGTCTGTATGTGAGATAATCTGGATATATCAGCTATTAAAGGAAGTTGGCCTCAAAACCACTTTGCCAGCAAAGTTGTGGTGTGACAATAAGGCTGCCCTACATATAGCCTCCAATTCTGTGTTCCATGAACGTACCAAACATATTGAGATTGATTGTCATTTTATCAGAGACAAGCTTAAGGAGAACTTCATCTCCACTGGATATGTGCGTTCTAGTGATCAATTAGGCGACCTTCTAACTAAAGCTCTAAATGGGACTCGTGTTGACTATCTGTGTGACAAGTTGGGCACGCTTAACATTTATGCTCCAACTTGAGGGGGAGTGTAGAGATATGATATGATTTGATATGTAAATATTATGTAATTATGATTAGGATTTGATAGAATATGATATTATCATAATGAGCCATTAATGCAGAGGCTCCTCTCACTTGTATATATATGTGTATATTCTGATCAATGAAATACAAGAGAATTATTCTCCATATTATTCTATTCCCTACACAGTGGAATTTACCAGTAACAAGGGCTTCCTTCCAGTCTTATCTATCAAGGCTGCCCCGATGCCAGTGACCACAATCTGCAAAACAAAACTTTGAATGAATTTGTGTACAGGAAACATAATCATAAAAGATCGTCCAAATTAGTGAAGTTAGAATTATAACCTGAAGAACAGCATATATTATAGACCCAATGCTAGAAGAAAATCCTGCCACATAATTGCATGATCCACAGATATGAAAACCGAAACAAAATTAAAATATGAATTTGCATGAAGCATCGGTTATCTGACATGTTTTCACAGCAGAGGGTGATGAGTGCGGGAAACTTAGGTTAATTGTATGCCGAAGAATATGTTGTGGGGAGAAAGAGACACAGGATGCAGAAGAACAATTACAGCAAACCAAACCATACCTGCCAATTCAAAAATACGGCTGACATAAAAGCAAACTCCATTGATTCCCCCGAATTGTTGGCAGACCATTAGACCGATTCCTATCTGGTCATTAGTTATGAAGTAATTTTTGTTCACTTTCTAGGAAAGTGAAATTATATGACAGCAGTATTCCACATTTATGATCATAAATTAGATTAAGGAAAGACATAATTACAGTGACCGAACGCAAGTATCTACTCTGAAACAATTCCAGCAGCCTGGGTTTTGGGAGTCGATCTAGAGTTGTTATGTAATCCTGTGAATTCCGGAGACATAGACGACCGCTTAATCACGCTATTTTTTAAAATGCCTCGTGTCTTTGACATTTTGATTAACAACACAATCACACAATATCATATTAGGATATCGAAACCTGAATTTCTTCTGCCTCTTCAGATATGTCAGCATCCTTGCCACGAAATTTTTTCAGCGCGGACACAAAATCATTTTCTCTTCCTTTCCTGGCCTGCAATCATCATTTTGTATATTCTATGTTATGGATCTGTGTAAATGAGACCTGGTTCTACTATCATGGATCAATAAATCCCTTTCTTACCAGCCATCTGGGAGACTCCGGAATAAAGAAGAGACCAAAAAGCAGTATAGCACAGGGAATAAGGCCTGCAGTCACTTCCCTAGTGAGTCCTTGGGTCATTTAGTTGGAAATTCAACTTTGCAAGTATAGTTTCTTTTCCATTTTTCTCGTTGTAAGACTGAGCAGAAATTTCACCAGTTAATGCCAAAGCCCTCCATGAAATTACTGTTCCAATAATAAACGACACAGAGACCGCTGTGACAATCATGAACTGCAGCAACAAAGAAATACAAGATTTTTCGTGTTAAATACTGCTTTTTTTAGCTACTTCAGATATTTGAACTGTTGATATGGTTCCCATGATCCAGGAAGTTACTATGATGTCCCCCTTTTCAAAAAAAAAAACTACCTGATTTAGAGTAGTAAGCCTTCCTCGGAGTTCTTTCGGAGCAATTTCTGCTATGAAGACTGGTACCTTATTGTCATCAATGACCTGGTTAGTCTTTTAGAGACAAAAGTATAGGCTTCGTAGTCTTACGACATTCTCTGATTTGTTTCATTAAATAAAACTGAAATATACCACATAGGAAAATACTCCCATTCCATATCCTGTTGCCAGCCTCCCGATGTCCAGTGGCCATGTCCCCTATGTTGAGGAAGAGAGACAGGAGGTATTACGCCATAAATTAGAGAATTATTTCAGGTGAAAGAATAAAGAGTATCGGCCCTAAGAACCTCAGAGAAGTAAATAGCAAGCCACCCCGCAATACAGAATGCACTCGACGTTCTCATTGCCTGCATATATTCAACGTTTTACTTTAATCTCGTTTCATAGGGTTCCAGATAAATGCAACTAAATGTAATTACAGCAGCAATTAACTCTGAGAAGTATCAATGCACTCACCCCTTTACGTCCAATAAAATCAGCAATGGGCCCACTAGTAACTGCACCAATCATGGCGCCGAAAGTCAAGATGGATCCGAACAGTGAATACTGCAACCAATCAATGCCCGAAAAGCAGAGTTAGAACACCTCCAGCACTGGAATCGCAGGCACTGAACTGGTGGTGACGAGCAACTTATTATGGGGTAGCAACTAAAGAATTTAGCCTCGCTTCAAAACTTTAGTGTAAGTGACATTGTTCCAATTCAGACAAAGCTTGCAGTTTCTCTCTGCTCATCCTCACCCTCAACTTAATGGCGGCTTACCTCTGCCAAAGACAGATTGAGATCCTCTATGATCTCATCTTGAACAGGCGATGAATAACCGGCCTGCAAACATACAAACAATGATATATCAGTGCAATACGTGCCAAAAATTAGTACTCAATTTCTGTTTAAATATTTTTCTTCTGTATTTGTGGGGAGAACTCAGTTGAATGGTAAGCACTAAGCAGTAAGCAGTTACACAAGCTCCAAATTCGTAGGATCCACAGACTGCGACAACGGTACCCAAGTACACCATCCATGGCTGCCCAGTGCTTGTAAGCGCAGTATCGCTCCTCTCTTCAGCAGCCACGGCCTTCGATTCCCTGATCAGTGGATCTGTAATTTTCTGCTGCACCCCACCCTCGATGTCCTCCCTGATTCCCATCTCAGCTTGAGTATGTAATATGTAGGTGGCTGATCCCTGCGATGGGATAAATGGCAAAAAGCGGCAGAACTAAAAAGATAGACTTCCGTTCAATGAAGCTTGCGGCTGTGGAAGCAGAGGCAATTCTTTTTCATGACACAGCCCTGTATAAAGTTATATAAAGTTAAAAATCTAAACTGGACTCTCGCGATAAAATTGACATGGACATTAAAAAGATCCAATCAATGAGAATGGTTCCCATATTAATTAAGAACGAAAACGGTCGTTTTCAATCTTAACTATTCACATATTAACATACTAATTACACGGCTCTGACTCTATTACGATCAATCAATTTGCCATCGGGTACTTTCCATTGATATTTATTCCAGATAAAGTAAGAAGGGGGAAAACCGGGGATGATTTATCCCGGGTTTTATAGATTCCAGTCAAAACAATTACGATTTTTGTCTCTGGTCGCGTCAGAGGGTCATCTATTCATCAATCTGGAATCATGTTCACTTACAATTCATCCATCTTGCCCAGACGCATCTCCCGCCCGGTAAACGACAGAGCGGTCGTTGTCGTTCCTCTCTGCGGTGTATATCGAACACATTTTCTTGAATTTTCTTTATAGTTGGATTATGAATTACTCCTATTATCTTATTTACAGAACAGGAAGAGAAGATATTTTTTTAAGAGAAATTTTTTGTATGGATTTACAATTTTACCTTTTATTTATTATTATATTGACTTTGATCATATAAGGTATAATGTATATTAAATATGGATAAAGTTGAAAAGTTATTAAATTTTTAATAAGAGTTAACGGTATTTAAAGTTTTTTTTATCTGTGTAAAACATATTAAGAATACCTTATAAATAAAATCAGAAAAGTACTGTGCACTCCCTCTTAAAATCTTCAACTGGATAAGAGCTTTCACTGAAAACCCAAAACCGCCCTTAATCAAAAGCTTATTTAGGGTGTGTTTAGATTAGTGGTGAAGAAGTAACTTTTTTTTCAATGACTTTTACAAAAGTCAAATTGTATAAAAGTCAAATAGTGTAATGTGATTTATGTTTGGATTGGATTTTGTAAAAAAGTCAGTTTGAAAAGCTGAAACTTGTTTGGATGATTAATGAAAAAGTAAGTTTGGATATAAAATGACTGAAAAGGATATAAATTTTATTATATGCAACAAATAAATGTGGATAGTATGGTCATTTTTTATGCAAATGGCATTTCTTTTGAGGTAAGAGAGAGTGTATCCCATTTTCATAAAGCTTATTTTTTCTCACCCCACCGTGATGCATCCCACAAACAACAAAATATGACTTCACCCAAAAGCTACTTATTTTCATGAAGTTCATTTTGTTCCATCGTGATTCCAAAGAAAAATTATAACCATAAGCTAGTTTTTCTGGGAAAAAGTCAGTTTGGGATCACGTTTGGATCACAAAACGTGATCCCAAACACACTCTTAGTTAGCTAGAAGATATCATTTTCTAGGGGGAAAAAATGATCTAGACAACAACGTGAGCCATAAGTGAGAAGACCAAAAGATTTGAATTCATTAGAAGGTGATGATCTCTGCCAGAGGACTTCGGTAATTGCAGCTTAAACTTTCCTGCATCCGCGCAATGAACTAACCATACGTGATCTTGGTAGCTACTGATATGAAACGCCGCAACATCATCTTCCCACTTCCCCAGACGTTAGGGTTCGACTGAAGTGCATCTTTAATTACATATCGTGGGGATAATAATTTATTTAATTTTTTTTAATCTGTCATTTCACCTCTCCTTTTTCAGTTTATTTGGATGAGTGGTTGTTGGATCCAAAGTGACTAGTGTTTGAATAGAAATCAAATCATAATTTCAAAAGTGTTTTTACGATTTATCAGATAAATATATAGAGGAGTTTGTCTCGTTTTGTGAAAAAATACTTCTCAATATTGTCAAACACCTTTTAAATTGATAATAAACTCGTTTGGATAAGCTGATGGCAGTTTGAGAGGGCTTTTTAACCATTTCACTTCAGGACCAAAAATGAGTTTGTATCGCGCGTTTTGATAAGTTGATGGGTTGAGCTTTTTGCAAGCTATGGGCCCGTTTGGGATCACGTTTGGGGGCCCAAACGTGCGTCCCAAACGGACTTGTGGGGTGGCTGACATTTTTGAGTGTTTGGATGCCCGATTGCCCAATCTGACTTTTGTGGTTTAAATGGGCTTCTGAGAGAAGCTCATATTTTGAGCTTTTTTTTCGGACGTGCAGCTGGGGTGAGGAAACCGTTGGAGTGTGTTTAATTGTTTTACCTAACTGACCCTCTCTGCATGTATTTTCTCTGACCTCACTCAGCTCAAAGACAAAAAAAAAGACGCACACACGCACTCAGCCACAACACGCTCTGAAGCTTAAAAAAAACTCCTCCCGACGTCTGCTGCCAACTCGCCGTGCGCCCGCCGTCTCCCGCCGTCTCCCGCCGTGCGTCCGCCGTCTCCCGCCGTCTCAACAGTTCGGGTTCAAGTGTGGTCGGTCGTTCAGTTCTTCCAGTCTCATCAGTTCTTTCCTCTGTTCGTTGAGTTGTTCCAGCGTCGCCGTCTCCCGCCGTGTCTCCGCCGTGTCCCGCCGTCTCGTCAGTTGCGGTTGTTGTGTGGGAGTGGCTAGACCTTGGTCGTTCGTTCAGATCCGTCAAATACCGTCGCCGTTGATCTTCTTCCCCTGTTCGGTTGCAAGCGTCGCCGTCCGTTTGAGGTGCCGCCGGATCGCATCTGCTCCAGATCCACACTGCTCAGAGTCTCCTTTGTACGCCTGGTAAGAGATACGCAATTTTGGTCCCAGATCTGGTTGTCTTCGATTGTTCTTGGCTCTTCGATTGTTCTTGGCTGCCGGCGGATGCATGGCTGTTATAGGAGTGTTCTTGGCTCTTCGATTGTTATAGGAGTCCTTAATATGATATTGTTGCTATTAATCTGATGCTCTTTCGATCAGTGTGGCCTGGCTGTCGAACTTGGTAGTAGTGTAGTAGGAAGAACTGACTTGAACGTATGGATTAATGTGGTTTTTTGGCTGTGTTTTATCTGTGTTTCCTGTTAATTATTTGTGACAATGTCAGACTCGTAGGCGCATTTTAGTTTGAAAATTTGAAGATCTGTGTTTCTATTTATTTATAGTTCTATGTTTCTATTTTATGATTTGTGGTTCTGGCAAACTGACTACCCCTTTGCTGTTAATTATTTGCCACAAGCTCCGAAAAGTATACGTTTTTTAGTTTGAAAATCTGAAGCTCGGTGTTTGTAAAAAGTGGCGTATATATTCATCAATAATGGTTATTGTTGATAAGTATGTTTTACAAACCTAAATATATATGATTGTGATATTATAATTTATACATATTATATATATTAGATATTTCCTGTCATATTTATTTACAAAATAAACATAATATTTCTGCATTGTTGGAAGAAAAGTGTTCTGGTTCACTGTAACTCCCTTTTGCATTCTTGATTGACATTTTTTAATAGAACTATGAACAAAGAAAAAAGTAAGGCAACATGGGATACAAGCACTACAGAGGTGTTACTTAAAGAATGCATGGAGCAAATCTACCGGAAAAATCGTCAAGGAACATCATTTTCAAAGACTGGGTGGAACAACATTCACTCTGCATTCAATGCAAAAACAGGAAAATCTTATGAGAAGAAGCAATTGAAAAATAGGCTCGATAGCTTGAGGAAGGATTGGAGGACATGGGTTGATTTAAACAAAGAGACTGGTGTAGGTTGGGACCCTGTAAACAATACAGTGGTGGCAACAAATGAGTGGTGGGAGAAGAAAAAACTGGTATATAATTGTTGATCTTGAGTTATAAACTGTGTTATTACTTGTTATAGGCTTTTTATTTTTGTTGATTGTATTCTTGCAGGAGAATCCCCAATATGAAAAGTTTAGGTACCAGGGGTTAAAGTTTGCTTATGAATTAAACACGATATTCAAGGGTGTGATAGCATCTGGAGAGGATATGTTGGCACCGTCTTTAACCCAACCTCAGACACAAGAGGATGATGAAGAGAATGTGTATAGAGTTATACAGATCTCCTTGAAGGATCGGGGGATAGCGAAGAAGATCTTGGAGGTGCTAGTGTAGGAGTTACGGATGAGATGGCAGGCGTAAACTTAACAGCAAATACTGCACCTAGTGGTTCAGGAAGCCATGGGAAGAGGAAGAGAGGTGAAGGGTCTAGCAGGCAAACAAAGCAAAAACTTCCGGCCTCAAGACAAATAGCGGATTCAGTTAGTGAAATAGCTACTGCATCTAAGGATAGAGCTGCAACTCTTAAGAAAATAAAAGAGGTATCAATTTCTGAGGTTACGGCCGAAGTGCTCTGCCTTGAGGAAATTACAAGTGACTCTGATTTCCGGAACCGGTGCTTAAGACTTCTGTTGCACAAGAGTGTTCGGGAAATGGTTGTTTCACTAAAAGGACAGCCGGAATACTTGGTTGCATGGCTACAGGATATGGCATACAATCCACCATCATGGCTGAAACCCCCGCCTGCTTGAACTATATTTTAGGACGCATGTTATGATTTTATTTTGTCTAACTCGGACCAGAGTTGTTATTATATGTTTTTAAGTTAATGTTTGTGGAACTATGAAATTATGTAACTTGTTAACTGACTATGAATGTTTTTAAGTTACATGTGTTATTTATAATGGTAATTGCAGCTTATGAATGTTTTTAGACTAATTTTTATGTCTTTGCATGTTTAACAGAAAGAAATATTTATTTGCACATACCTAAAAATATTTATTTGTCGTTTAAAAAAATTCTTACAGTTGAATTTAACCACACTCACAGGTGACATTATCTATGGCAAATTGGAACAATCAATTTACGTTTGAGTGGATGGAGGAAGATGAACAGTCTGAAGAGGAGTCGGAGGAAGATGAACAGTCTCAATTGATTTCCCTTCTAGATGAAGAGATAACACAATATGAAGAGGTAGCTGTATTGGTGAGTCAATATGTGATGCCTTATGTGTGCAAAGAGCCACGAAGAACTAGTCAGCAAACAGGTAATTTATGGGTGCAAGAAATTTTGCGAGATCATGAAATTCGGTGTTATGACATGTTTCGAATGGAAAAAGAAATGTTCATGCGATTATGCTCTAAACTGGTCGAACATGGTTTAAAAAATTCTAAGTATCTGGGAGTGGAAGAAATTGTTGGTATGTTTTTGAACACGGTAGGTCATGGACAATGTAATAGGATGATTCAAGAAAGGTTTCAACATTCAGGAGAAACTGTAAGCAGGCATTTTCATAGAGTATTACAGGCTTGCCTTAGTCTTTCCAGGGAATACATCAAACCACTCGATCCTACGTTTTCTGTAACTCACCCAAAAATAAAAAACGATAAACGATATTCGCCATATTTCAATGATGCAATTGGAGCAATTGATGGCACTCATGTACGATGTGTGGTGAGTCTTTCAAGCAAGACAAATATATCGGGAGAAAGGGATATCCGACACAGAATGTCATGGCTGTATGTGATTGGGACATGTGCTTCACTTTTGTGTTAGCGGGATGGGAAGGTACTGCACATGATGCTCGTGTGTTTAACACTGCTGTCTCAACTCCAGCCTTGGATTTCCCTCATCCACCTCCAGGTATATTTTCAGTAGCTTCAGTTTTAATTATGTCAAATTCATTTGATATTTTCATTAATTTCACAATGTCAACATAATTTCATGATTTATTAGGGAAGTATTATTTGGTCGATGCTGGCTATCCAACTCCACCAGGATATCTTGGTCCGTACAGATGTGAGCGCTATCACCTTCCAGACTTCAGGCGACAACCGGGATTTGAAAATTATAACGAAGTCTTCAATTACTACCATTCAAGTTTGAGGTGCACTATAGAAAGGACTTTCGGGGTGTGGAAGAATAAGTTTCGCATCTTAGAGAAGATGCCAAGTTACAAGTATAAAACTCAAGTCCAAGTAGTTTGTGCTACAATGGCTATACATAATTTCCTCCGAAGAAATTCTGAAACTGATAAAGATTTCATAGAAGCTCAATCTGAAGGTACAATTGACGAAGACAATCATGATGAAGCTGGTGAGACATCCTCTTCAAATTTACCTAGATCAAGACAAATGAATCATGTGCGTGACACAATCAGAGACCAAATTGTATTGAGCATGGCATCCAATTAGTTATTTGATGTATTTAGTTTAAAAATGCTACGTATGTATGACCTCTAATTTACATATTTATCCATTACATATATTTAATTAAGTTTTTTATTATTTTTCAATTTCCTTCTAGTAATAACTTAATTTTTTTTATTTTTAATAAAAAAATTTTCAATACTTCTTTTAAAATAGTCACATTATATATATAATTTCTTTATAACAATAAATTAAATTTCCTTATTTTTAATAATTTTATTTTCATTACTTTATTTATGACAAATAGTCACATTATATATATAATTTCTTTATAATACTAAAGTAAATTTTTTTACTTTTAATAATTTTTATTTTCCTTACTTCTTCACTTTTAATAATTAAATATCTAATATTAGATATGTGCTATTTAATAGAATTCATGTCCTTTTAAGTCATTTTACATTCAAACTTACTTTTACATTTATCATCCAAACAAGTTTCAACTTCTCAAACTGACTTTTTTCTAAAACCCAATCCAAACATAAATCACATTACCCAATCTGACTTTTACTCAATCTGACTTTTGAAAAAGTCAGATTGAAAAAAAAGTTACTTCTCCACCGCCAATCCAAACACACCCTATGTATGCGAGCAGTGAGAAGCAGCCTCTAGGAGAGTGCAAGGGTGACGTGCACATGCTGTGTCTTCAAAAATATTTATCTTCATGGGTGAGTAATTATTCTAAAAACCAACAAATATAATAGATTAAAATTAAAAAATTTAATTTAGTTATTTGTAATAAATATTATCTTTTTAAAAATATTCTTATTAATTAAGTGTATTGGTTAGAATTATGATTATTATAATGATTAACTAAAAAAATGAATAATTTAATCATGTTTCATAATTTATTAAAACTCATACCCGTTTTGGCAATTTTACAAATAAACTTACTCTTACCCAATCATAATCCAAACAACTTTTTACCAATTTCACTTTTACAAACTAAATTTTTTAACTCCAATCCAAACACAATTCAGCTTATCCAATTTAACTTTTATACAACTTCATTTCTTTATAAACTACTTTTTGAATAAGTTACTTTTTCCAATCTCTGATCTAAATAGACCCTTTATAAGTTGACAGTTGAACATATTATTATTTTATACGTCATTTAAAATAACGGACGGTAAAATTTAAAACTTTCATGCTCTTCCCACCGGAATTTAAAACGCTGATTCAAATTAATATAAACCTCGTAATCTCTGAACTGGAGATATGATATTCTGCTATATTCGTTTGTTGAAAGCAAACTTAGGGCTTATTTGCATCAATATTGCAAAAGTGGTTATAAGCACTTTCATATAAATCAAGATAAAACTCTTCTCATATACTTATCTTGTATTCTATAAATCACGTTTGAAAAGCTACTTATAAGTCATTCCAAACGTGCCCTTAACAATTGAATGGGTTGCCAAAACTTCTATAAAAGGGTCATGTCCTATTGATTGGATGTGAAAATTTCAGGATTAATATAATTTTTGATCTGTTAAGTTTGTTATCATTTTAATTTTGGTTCCTAAATTTTAAATCACAAGTTTTGACCCTTTGAGAGGTAAAAAAGTCCAATTTTTTATTGAGTTGAGACCAATATTTTAAATGAAAAAAAAATTAAGAGATAAAAATCCAAAATTTGAAATTTGAGGGACTAAAATCAAAATGAAAATAAGTTTGAAAGACTAAAAAGTTGTATTAACCCAGAACTTCGTGTATAAGTTTCAAATATAAGATTAAATATTCTTTCTCCAATTTTCATATTTATCATTCAAAGTCGGCCAAAAAAAAAATCGTTCAAAAATAAAATAATCAACTCTTTTAAAGACTTGGAAATTTGAATATGAAAAAAAAAAAAAGAAGCTCAAACGACACGCTTAAGCCCAGTCTCACTTTTTCGGGTTTTATAAAGTTAAACCCAAAAGCCTCTTTTGCACTAAAATCCCTCCTTTTTTTTTTTGGAGTGAAAAAACTCCCTCTATTTTTAAAACGTAGATCTGAAAATTGGACTTAAAAAAGTAGGCCGATGAAGTCTGAAGATGCATTTGCAATCTCTTTGTTTATGTGATTGTTTATGTATTTTTGAAGGACTGGACCTGCATTCCTTTTTTTTTTTTTTAACATGGAAAGGCAAGCCGAAGCTTGAGGAAAATAACGCCTTTAAAAGGCTACACAAAAAAACAACAGAACAGTCATGTTACCTGCATTCTTTATTAATCCTAACGACAGCTAATTTTTTGGCATGTTATTTTGGGGAAGATTGTCGTGTCCGTACAAAATGACTATGATGCAGCACCAGAACATTAATCACCTGTAATGGAAAAGGATTCTTTTTCTTTTTCTTTTTTAAAAAAGGATTGCCTAGCTACGGGGATGAGGTACTTGTCTGCTTGTGTGCAAGTTTTGTATTCTTTTGATTTTCAAGCAAACTCCAAATTTCTGCTAAAATTTATAATAAGATCGTACTGGCGAAAAAAATGTCCTTAACGAAGATAAACCGGGCCGCGAACAGGGCAAATTTTCTTCGTCCTCGTCGTAACAGGGCCCAATCCTCTATCAAGAGTGATGGAGTTCATTATTACTTTTTGTCTCTTCATCATATTAATTTCGTCATCCCATGCATAGATTATGAAATGAGCGCGAACTCGTTGTTTGTGACTTAGTAGCATAAAATAAGCTGGTAGGTGAGCAAGCGTTGTGTAAGTGCAACATAAACTTTCTGTGGTCAGGGATGAAATAGACCCACTAACATTTCAACGGGCCAGCCTCTCCCATCTTCAATTGGTTATATATAAATACTATTATTTTCAAGACTTCAGAATTAAGACATGTTAGTACATTATGTATTAAAAAAAAAAACCATGTTAGTACTTAGGTTGACCTGTCGTTTGGAAAAGCCAATTTGCCAATACCTTATCATATTCTCAATTAACTGCCTTCAACCCCCCGGGGGGGACTGAACTGAAGACAACGCGGGTCCGCATGCGCAAGTATACATTTAAGGGGCGATTGGAATTGATAAAAAATACTTTTTAAAAATATTTTTTTATAAATTAAAATAAATTTTTTTACATATTTATTTTATATATTGTAAAATTATTTTCAAAACTATAATTTGATTTTTATCTAAATACTCTGTTAAAAAAGAAGAACAGACCGATTAAGCCTGATTAGAAGGCAATCTGCACCAGCCCATAGCCCAACTTGTTCCTCCTCCTTTATAAAGAGACACTCACATAGTTACATATAGAAGCACATAGTAAAAATAAATAAATAAATATTTTTATAAGGTGTGTTTTACTGTAAATAATTTTATTTGAGATACTGTCATATATTAAATATAAAGACTTCTCTTGAATTTTAATCCATTTTGTTGGAGCCGACCCTGTAGATGATAATGAAAAAGACACCTTCATAATAAATCGCAAGCCTCTTCTAATAACACATCCACGGGCCGGTCTTCTTGGCCTAAAAGGCTCTACGCATCCGCCCTGTTTATAGACCCTGCTGCATCGCATCAGTAGGACAGTTCGATGAAAAATAAAACAGCCGCCTGAACGCCTTCATCGAAAATTTTTACCAAAATGATAAATTAACTCCAAGTGAATTATACAACCCTGAAATTAATGAGCCCATGAAAAGGGAAGAATATAATGACCAAAGACAAAGAAAGAGCCGACTCTTGCTTCCATTAGAGTTCTAAGAGCACATGTTTTGCCTTCTCTACATACAATGCTTCCGGCAACCAGCAATCCAATATTATTTTAGGGAAAAAAAGGAAAAAAACTAATCACATTGAAACCAACCCGGGGAGTACAGTTATATACACTCATGATTCTGGATCCTCAACTTGGTTCATTTTCATTCTTAGAATTAAAAGAATGATGGTCACCCTCAAATGTACAACTGCTGGTAGCTCTCTCAACATCAGTCCTCCTAGCAACCAGAGGAATGGGTCTCTGAGGAATAGCCGGTACTGATTCATCTGACTCCAACATCCTCATCACCTGGTCCATTGTCGGCCTCGCATATAACTGTGGGTGAGAACAAACTACAGCAACCAACACATATTTCTCCATAACCTGTGGTGCACCAGTTTCTGGCATCCCAACTTCAATTACATCCAAAGGTCGACCTGTTCTAACCAGTGACCAGGCCCAATCAGCGAGAGCAGAGGGTTGGCCATCGTCGTCCATTTGAAGAGCTTTTCTCCCACTCAAGAGTTCAAGAAGCACAACACCATAACTGAAAACATCACTTCTTTCCGTTAACTGTCCATACAATGCATACTCCGGGGCAACATACCCCATAGTTCCAACTACCCTAGTGCTCATGTGCGTCATTCCCTCCGAGTAGAATTTTGCAAGTCCAAAGTCTGCGACTTTTGCTTCAAACTTGTCGTCCAGAAGTATATTGCTGGCTTTTATATCCCTATGGATGATGGTTGGCTGGGCCCCGTAATGCAGATAAGCCAATCCTCTTGCAGTGCCCAGTGCAATCTTTTGACGGGTCGGCCAACTGAGTTTCTTCCCCGGAGAACCGAACAAATGATCTTGAAGACTCCCATTCTTCATCAAATCACAGACAATAATCCTCTGGTGACCCTCTAAGTTAGTTGTGGCAGTGCAATAGCCTCTCAGGGCGACAAGGTTTACATGCCTCACGCTTGCAATGACCTCAACTTCGTGAGTGAAACTCGCATCCCCTGCAGCCGAACAGTTCTTGAATCTTTTCACTGCAACTTCACTCCCATCAGGTAACACGCCTCCATACACGTTCCCGTATCCTCCTCTCCCAATTACGTTGTCCAGGCTGAAGTTCCTAGTTGCCTTCCTAATGTCATCAAATGCGAACCTGATCAAGGTGGTGCTCTCATTCAAGGAATTCAACCCAGAATTGAGCACCGTCTCAGTTCTGCTAATATTGTACTTTCTCACTCTCTTCTTATTCTTGTTCAATCTCTGACAAAGCCAGAACCCACCAATCACGAATAACAAACCCAACACACAAAAGACAAAAGCAAGCGCAATAACAATGTGCTCCACCCTGCGACTGGAGCTCGCAGATTCAAGATCCATGGAGAATAAGCACTTAGCAATCCCGGTGTCGGTGGGACCATACTGATTGACGAAAGCAGCGGCATAAATTGATGAATAGTCCCTGCAATTGGAGACATTCCCAGTCGACGGTCCCCTCAAGTACAAAGCGGACAACTTGGCCAGGCTAGTAATACAAAGAGCGCAAGGGGATTTATGCGCAAGCGAGTGACTACAAATCGACTGCACATCTTGAAGAACCGGCTCGGAAACAAAGGCTTCGAATTGTTTTCGGGTAGTGATATTCATACATCCCTGGGAGATCCAGCTGGTTCGAAATCCACAAGAGAAACGAATATCAAAGTTGGAGTCAAATTGACGAGTGTGAGAGTGGAAATCATGCCAACAGGAGTCAGAAGAGTTGAGGGGAGGAAGGAAGAAGCCAGAGCGGCGGAGATAATCGGATTGAACAAGATGGAGAGCATTGCGGACGTACTGGCAGTGGGTGGAGGGATCGCGAGGTAGTCTGACACTGCCGGTGACGTCGCGAAGGATGGTGAATTTGAGGGGGCAAGGCGCGTTGTTTGCAGATAGGTGAGGCCGTGAGAAAGCGAGGAGGAGGAGGAGGAGGAGGAAGAGAAGAGACATTGATGACGATGGCATTGAAAAAGAGGCATTACAGAGTTAAAGAAGTGGAAGGGTGAGAACGAGTGCAGCGAATGCGTTGATAGAAGAGGGAGTTTGAAATTGAACAGTTGGAAAGAGACATGGCGGGCGAGGAGCTGTACCATGTTGACCATGGTGGACGAGGTACTTACCGCTTATGCACCAAGAAAGGCATTTTAATTGCAGGAATACCTAACCCTAAAAAGGATGCTTCCAAAAACTCGACGCGTTGCAAAAATGGTGTTTTGACCTTCCTAAAACCCTTCTTTTCTTCCCATCCACTGCTTTGGGACAAAGAAGTGAATATAAAATGCACGAAAGGGGAAACCCCAAAGATTCTGGTCTAGTTATGATAAAATAAGGGGAAAAATTTATTTAAGCACCATTGTAGCTAATTAGTATCAGTCAACACTCAAAACATTTTAAAATTTCAGTTAACCCTCTTTGAATCAAAATGAAATTAAAATTAATAGCAAGATTACAATAATACTTTTTATTTTTATTTTTTTAAAAAATAAATGTAAATTATCACCAGTTGGTCGAATGATTTTTTTTTTAAAAATAAGCTGGTCGGGGAAAGGTTTAAACCCATGATCCCTTGACACACTAAAAGTGATATGACCATCAAGCCAATCAAACCATTTAATCATGTAATGCAAAGAAATATATATATATATATATATATATATATAACATATAACAAGACAAATTCAAGTGTCCAAGTGTAAGTGAACAGATAAAATTCGACAAGTTACAAGTAAAATTTAGTAATTTATAACAAAAATTTGGCGATTTGTAAGTAACATAATAGAATTCACTAAAAATTCATAAATTTACAACCCAAATTCGGTGATTCACAAAATATAAAAAGAAATTCACAACTTAAAATGTAAGTGTTTGAATGTGAATGAATAAGTGAAATTCAGTTATTTACAACCAAAATTCAGTGATTCACAACCAAAATTCAGTGATTCATAAGAAACATAAACACTATAAAACTAATAAGATAATCCACAAGTTCATTCACATTTAAACGTTTACATTTTGAGTTATGAAGTCTTCTGTATTTCTTGTGAATCGCATTTCAAATTTCAATCATTCACTTTTGTTGTGAATTCACACTTGCTGCTCGTTTCAAACCGTTTTACTTGCTCTAGAATCAGTTTCGCATGTCCTCCTTCTGTTCTCAAGGCATGGCGGAGAAGAACTTCTATGCTCGGGCCATGCACAAAATATAGCGCAAATGCAATAAACATTGTTCACGCTTCATGGCCCTTGGATTTTGCGATTGCTTGACTGTTGCATGTATATGAGATTTCTGAGTCCACAGCGTGTACGTTTTCTTGGCTTCTGGTTGTCAGGAAAATTAAATGAACTTATTTAATCAGTTTGCTGGTCAACAAACCGTCGTACATTTGGTCCATAAAAAAATTGTCAAAGAAAACGTGATCGAAAAAATCAGGACTTTTTTCCCATTGGGACTACAATTCACCATTGCATTAAGTTCGTTGGTGGTAAAGGGGAAATATATTAAAAATGGAATCCGGTCATTTTATTGGTCGTTAAACCGTTATGCGTCGTGTTAAGTAAGGAACAAAAAACCGGACCAGACATTAAACCGGTCAAGACAGTGGGTTAAGGGTTACTGGTCGAACCGGTCATATTAAATAATATAATTTAATTCATAATATTAAAATGAAAGAAAATTTATAAATAATAATCACTCAAAAAAAGATGAGAAGCTACAAAAGTTGGTTTAATGTTTAATAGTATCAAGCAAATATTAATGAAATGCATATCTTCACTATGAAAAATCAAAATCATCACTAAGATTATTAGCATAGACTGAGATGTTAATAGCGGGATGAGGAAAAGCAGAAGTAACAACATCATCTTGTAAAGGTAGAGGGTCAGTAATGTCCATATCTTCATCACATATGTAAAACAATGATCAATATTAACAATCATAAAAAAAATTATATATTTGTATAGAAATAAAATCTTAATTATATATATAAAGTTATAAACCTTCATTAGCTAAAATTTGGCCAAAATTTGTTTATTACCTAAAATCATAATTTTAAATCATTTAAATCAAGGACCATTTATTATTTGCAAGTTCTCTCACCCCCTGTCTCATTCACGTGCACTCTTTTTTGTTATCCCTTCCACGCCACCGTCAAAATCAACATGACACACAGGGAAGATATATTGTCAGGTTCTTATTTACTCCCTTGTTAATTAATATTTTATTCCTCCTTTCTTCTCTTTCTTTCCAGCCTATTCTCGATGCATTTTATTTCAATTTCATAACTCTTTTCTTCTTTATTCCCCAAACTTTGAATTTCAGTCAACTTCCAAAAAGGAGAGAGCTTGGATGAGCGAAGAGTACAGCCTCACTATTTTGCTGAAGCGAAGCAGTTGTAAGGCGACCTCATCTCCGTCTTCTTCCTCCCCAGATTTGGCGACTCATCTACGTCTTCTTCATCCGGCGACCTCTCCTCCATCTTCTTCTCTCGGCGACCTCATCTCTAGCCATCATCGAGCTCATCTCTTTCCCACTTTTTTTGGATCTGGTAACCTTCACCTTCACTGGCCAATCTCCATCAATGCCTGAGTCTCCATTTCTCTTTCTCTTCTATCATTGTCCACCTCTTCTTCTTAGATCCTTCCATCGTTGGCTCCATTTTCAGCGTTCGAAAATGATTTTTCACTTTACAGAGAACCGGGTAACCCACCCAACCAGTGGGTTACCCGAGTTTTTACCGGTTGATACCGGTTTGGATCGGTTGACACCGGTTCAGTTTTTAGCCGGTTTAGAGCGTGATTCGGACCGGACAAGTGGCCGGTTCACCGGTTTCCGGTCTAAACCGGCCGGTCCGGTTTTTTGTACCTTGGTGTTAAGTCTGATAGAGAATTTCAACCAACACTGACAATGCAGGGAGAAAATGAAACTAAGGGCACTGGGTGGCGATACAATATCATGGTACTGAACACAGGAAAATCTGGCTTTTCTGTGGTGGGATGGGTGAGAAACCACCAACCGGTACCAAAATACCAAATGAACGTTGACGACATGCTTAAACACCAACCTGTCCGACGTCATATATTGGGGGTCACTTTCTAGTTTCTAAATGAAAGTTATCTGATATCTCAACCTATCGCTTATATTAATGAGTGCAAGAAAAAGACACTACCGTCCATGCATAAAGAAAAGCAGAGATACTTAATTAGATGATGATAAATTACACCAACTAGATGGCGTGATAAAACGAGGAGAGATTTATACAGGGTGCAGGCATGATTATCTGATCAGCATGATTAAATTTGGTCCCCCTCAGATGATTTCAATTTGGATTTTGCATATAGCGACTGCGTCATAAAACACGCTAACGTATTAGACTGAAGTATCTATACTTAGAATATGATGGGATGGTGGGATAGGACGATTGGCATAGGAAATAAACGTATGTTACGCTGTTTTTGAGCAGATTTACGAAGCAAAGGGGCAATTGATTGAGAGTCCATACATCAATTTGCACGTTAGGTTTAGAGGAGGTTACTAATGTAGATGGTGGAAAACTTAGCTTTGTGGGGGAGGGTGACTTCTTAATTAATGGCCAATGATAAAGTGTTAATTAATAACGTCCCTCACATAATTAATAGCGCTAATAATGGCGACGACGATTTCGACATGGCCAGTGGCCACGCATAAACTGAAACTGCCTCGCGATCTTAAATGTTCTTCTAATTATTTTCATAATTATGATTGCTTCCTGAATGAGTAAAACCTGAGAAATCGAAATTGGATTTTAGGCATTTCATAAACCTAAGTGCTTCCAAGTCCTAGGAGCTTGGCATCCTTTTTTTTCCTGGGACCAAATATGAGCATGATTGAAAAAATTCCCCCATCTTTTTTTGACCAGCAGAAAATTCTTCCATCTCAATGTAGTGCGTACGTTAATTTGTCGCCTACATGGCTACATTTACAATTAAAAACAAGAAATTCAAATCTTTTTGGCTCCCTGGCCCTGTGAGAGAGGGGGGAAGGTTGATGTTGATGGTGGGGTGTGGAGAGGACAGATGTTGAGAGATGAAGCAAAGTGTCAGCATTGCCAAGCACCGTACTTTCTGACAGTGAAGCTCACACAGCCACCCTGCACGGACACTTACCCGCATTTATGACCTCACCACACCCTAACTCTAATTTCCTTCCTAATTTTCTACCTCAACCGACAACCGACGGTATCGTCAACGTAACTCTCCATTTTTCGTTACCACGCCTCCATCTTCTATCCGAAATTAACCAAAATAATTCCTTTTTACATGTTTGAGATCAGGACGTGGACTTGTGAGCCTGCAACATTGAAAAGGAGAGTGATTGTTGTTTGTTGAAGCGGGGAGGCCAAGCAATGAACTTATCACGTCTGCGTCTCTGATTCTGTCCTCTGCTTTTTACTGCTCTGCCCTCCCCTGTTCCTCTCCTCTTCCCTCTACTTCCACGCTATTTCTTTGATATTTTCTGAGCATCCATTCTGATAGTTTAGCGTCCGTTGGAAGCCTGTATTTCGTGGTATTTCTTTTCTCGAATACAGCGGTTCTTAGTGGTTTCCATTTTCTCGCACAGTATAGTTGTCGGTTGCCTTTCCATTTTTCCGTCTGATGAGTGGCTTCGAATTCCTCATTTTGTTCTGCCTTCTGAACCAAACTCAGGGCGAGTAGAAGGTGAGTAGGTTTTTTGCTTTTTTGGGTCTCCAAAACAAAAAGAAATGAATGAGAAGGTAGATTCTCCCGTTGGAGTTCTGGAGGAATATTTTGGAAGTCCAGAGTCAGAAACTAGTGGCTCCTATTCCAAAGAACCCACGGTGGGTTCTGGCTCTGAAGACGATAAGTCAACACCTGCTTCTAGATGGCCCGGTTTCCTTCAGTCGTTGGGGACCAGATCAAAGAAACCTATAGCCCCATTGCATTTTCTGAGTGTTCTCAAGCTCTCCAGGAGATTCAGTCGTGGCACAAGGGAGACTACACTGCCAAATCATTACATTGATGCAGATTCATCCCCCCACAGATTACCATGCAAGATCTTCTCCTACCATGACATTCAAATGGCAACCAATCATTTCAGCCAGAG